GAAGATTTAAAGTGCAGAAACCCAGTACTCATCAGGAGAAAAGGAACTAGAAGCCGTATGACATAAGAGAACTAGCAATAAGTGAGAGTCATCAGTTCAAGGGAGATCATGAATGCCCCTGAGAAAATAAATGTGGAAGCTTTTACAATGCATTAGCAAAGTGGTTTTTTTTTTTTTTGATTTTATAGCTAAAGAAACAAAAGCCAAAAGACATGAATTTAATGACCTCATCTCATTTCAGAAATAGATGAAATGGAAGCTAGGCCTACATTGTAACAATTAATGCTTTAATTAAAAGAAATAAATATCTGTCACAGCATTTGAAGATAGAATTTAGGGTCCTTGACGTTCTGGAATATTTTATTCCACATTCACATCTATTCTTTCTTAGTCCCGAGTTTATTACTTTGGCAGTTCTGTGTCCATTTAGCTGACCTAGAATTACATTTCCCAGCGTTCCCTCCTCTGTATAGTGTTGTATGAGGGTAGGCCGAAATATAAATTTGCACCAGACTTGGAAGGCCAGAGTGACACATCCATCAGCCCTATGCTGGGTCCTAGACATCACTGCAGCTTGTCCATGTCGCTGTGACCTGCTGTCTCTTCTTGCTAGTCCAGGGGAGCAGCCAGTGCGCTGGTCCCCTCCTCCAGCCTCTCCTACTACTAGACCAGTTACACTGTCAGAGCTCTACAGAGCAGGACACCTGTTTTTCTGAAGGTGGCCGGTGTCATCAGAGTGGATCCAGTGAGAGACAGATGCAGGCTCCAGTTTCTTCTCACAGATTCCAGTTCGCTCTGGCTTTAAGTCCAGCGTTTCTTCCCCAGGCCCTGCTGATCTGCAGAGACTCCAGGACACAGTCAGATGCAGAGGCAACAGGCTTCCACAGGCTTCTTCACCAGCTTCTCCTTGCGGCCCCGCTGAGTGACCTTCTCCTTTTCCTCTCACTGTCTCCTTCCAGGCCTTTGCTTTCTCAGTGTCTTCCACAACTGTGTGCAATGGAAGCCTTGTAAGAAACCCCTTGTCTCCTATCACTCACAGTGGTTCTTCTCTGACAGAATTGCTCACAGTGCCTTATTTTCCAGGCCCTTGACTGTACTCTGTGCCTTTCACTTATTCTCAAGGGACCATTAGCTATCAGAAAAGGGTGAGGAAATTTTAAAATGCATCTTAATATTTTTAAATAGTCATCTTGATAGACTGAACACCAGTATTAAAGCACTGGCTATGAGGAGGTCTGGGGACACCATCTATTGGTTTCTGGTACCTGGAAGCCTCCACAGCACCCAGAACTATCCAGCTGCTCAGTAAGAGAGAAACAAACTCCCACCTTATTTCAGCCACTGTTATTTTGGTCTTTGTTATGGCTGAGCTTGAATTCTAACCAAACACACCTTAAACGTTATCTTAATTGAGTTCAGTTATTCAAGTACGGGCACATCAAAGCTGATCATTATTCTCCCTCTCTCTTATTCTGTAGCTCAGCCTTAGAAATGTACGTGCTCTTTTACCAAGCAGAACTTCAGAAAAAGAGAGGTTATCAGTATCTTGCATAAGATGCAGAGTGGCCCATTTAATAGCCTTATGTGATAGACGGTGATACACTACTTTCATTCATTCTTACTTTTTTTTTTCATTCTTACTTCTAATGTGGACTGAACTAAAAGTAATTAACATTTATTATCAAGACCAACACAAGACTGTCTATTCTTGTCCTGGACTAGGGATTACCAGTGAATTTCAGAAGACAAAAGGCATTTTCAACTATTTGAGCACGTCACTCAGCCTCTCTGAGATCCAGTGCCACCGTTTATAAAATTTGGTGAATACTCTTTCTTCATAGGCTTGTTGTGAAGGTAAAATGAAATACTCCAAAGTATGTAAAGCCTTCCTAGTACAGTAGTTGACACAATAGATGTCAATAAATATTAGTCAAATTCAAAGCCTAAATATGTTTTAAAAGAATTAGTATGGAATACAATTTAATGAATTCTAAAAGGTAAATAACAAAAAGCCCCCAATAATTTTTTCCAAAATCAAACTGAATTTCCTGAAAAGAACTCTTGTTCTAATACAATAATGTATCAAATAATATCCTAGTGACAGAATTTGCTACTTCTTTCAAAGTTACCCAAAAACTAAAGAGAGAAAGGTAACAGGAGCTTGGGATAACTTTGACCAAGAATCGGTAGGTTCTGGAAGTTCAAGAGCAATGTCTTTGATATAACATGTGCCATGTTATAATCTCTGTTAACCTGAAAGTTTCTCTGGCTTAAAACAAAGAGAGCATCCTATTCTTTTTGCTAAGCTTTCCTTAAATTCTTAGTTGATTCTTTATATTTCAAAGGATTGGGTCAGGGACGCCTGGCTGGCTCAGCAGTTGAGCATCTGCCTTCAGCCCAGGGCATGATCCTGGAATCCTGGGATCAAGTCCCACATTGGGCTCCTTGCATGGAGCCTGCTTCTCTCTCTGCTTGTGTCTCTGCCTCTCTCTGTGTGTCCCTCATAAATAAATAAATAAAACCTTTAAAAACAATAACAACAACAAAAGATTGGGTCAAAAAAAATGATGTGAACAATATTTTTAGTTTTATGATGAATATAAAGGGGGAAAAGGTGCTGGCAAAGGAAATCAGTGAGACAAGACCATCCAAAGTTTATCCTATGAGCAAAACTTACTATACTTATTAATATAGAAAAGTTCACAAAGAAAGTTAAGTTGTTCCTTGGTACAAAATAACATTTGTATCTTGCCCTTCTGGTAGACTTTAAAGAGTTTCTAAACATAAAAGTATAGGAGGCTTTCTCCAGTTTCATTAGCTTTATGTATCAGAGGAACCTTATTAGTGTTGTCGGGACTGCATGTTTGTGTCACTCCTACAATTCATATGCTGAAGTCCTAATTCCTAATGTGATATTTGGAGGTAGGGCCTTCAGGAGACAATTAGGTCATCGGGGAGAGCTAGTGATGGAACTAGTGCCCTGTGAGAAGCAACATGAGAAAGCTAGCTAGTTCTCTCTCTGTCCATCCCTCTGCCATGTGAGGACACGCCAAGAAAATGGTGGCCGTCTACAAACCAGGAGCGGAGCAACAACCAAATGTGCCAGCACCTTGATTTTGGACTTGGCAGCCTCTATACTGGGAGAAATAAATGTTTGTTGTCTAAACCATCCAATCTTTGGTGATTTGTTATAGCAACCCCAACTGACTAAGACAAATGTCTCACAGGTACACACCCAAGCTGACTGAATCTTGAAATAATAGTAGAAACCTGTTTCTAGGAATCTGTTCATTAATAATATTTATCATTGTTAAGTCTTAACAAGGAGGGCCAGGGTTCAGAAGCAAGTCAGAGAGATCAGAGGCTGATGGTATTGTAGTATTTACTGTACTTATCCATGCACAGTCCATTATAAGCAAATCTGTCTACTCTTAGTGCCAGAGGAAGGGCCAGTTGTAATCCATCCATAGTTTGGACCATGTGGCCAGGGTGTCCCTGAACAGCCACTTATGACTCCACAGAGCGAAGAGCAGTCAATGAGATTCCTTCTCTCACTCCAGAATTTGAAAGAATCAAAATTCAGAGACTGATCTCACTTAGAAGTGAAAGTGGACTGCACTGGTGAGGAAACAGAGCTGCAGTAGAGGCCATATCGGCTATGTGCAAATCTAGTTACTCATTAACAGAGATTAAGCAGGCCAAGCCTGCTGGTTGCTGACCAGAAAGAAGCAGACACAGAGAATATAGCTCAGTTAATTCGAGCATAATCTACTTGAAGACAGGGATAGTGTCTGTGTTGTTCATTGCTATTTCCCCAAGATCTAGCATAGTTCCTTGTCATTGAAAAAAATTAGCCTCTTGATACCTATCACCTGAATGAAGAGTTAATGACTTAACAGATCACTAGAGCAAGTCCTAAAGTGACTTTCTTTCTTGAAACAGTATCAGTTCCTGGCACCAGAAATCTAAATTTGTCCATGAGATTCCTTCTCCTTCAAAGTAACCTATGTCCTCTCATGTTCCTATGCTTCACTATTTCCTTTTATTTGGGCAAAACTGTTAGGTCCTTGATTCTTGTAAACAACAACAACAACAACCATTTTTGTGTGTGTGGGAGAAAGGAAGGAGAAAGGGAGGGGGGAGAGAGGTCTGAGAGAGAGAATAACAGAGAAGGAAAGAGAGAGAGGGGGAGAGGTGCAGGAGTTGAGGCTGGTAGAGAGACTACACTTTACTTCCCTAAATAGAGGTTTACTTTAGACTTTGGGTGCAAGGCTAAAGACAAGTAACTGCAAGAACCAACCTGCTATAAAAAACTCTAGAGAGTTTGCTCAAGAGAAGTGTTTAAGCTTCCTCATTGGAGTAGACTAGCTATATAAAATAAAATAACCATGTAGCTATCTCCCTATAAATTGTTTATATTGTATTGAATGGGAGTAACTTGACTACCATTCTCCTACTTAATGAGTAAAGTGCTCAGGGATGTTACTCTGGTGATAAAACACAGGTACTTAAACGAATAATCCACCCTCCTTTCCAACTCATCATTTGCTGTTCTTCATTATTACTGAATGCATTCACTGGTGTGTCTTTAAGGAAATCTAAATGCTTTTTTCCTTCCGTTTATGAAGAACTCAAGAATGGTGTGGCAGAAAATATTCCAGTAAACTGCTTTCATAAGACAATATGTCCTCTTGGGCAATACATATCTTTCAAGATCTGGCTTATCCCCAATCAATTGCTGTTAAATTATCCTCATGTGACAGATAATGGAAAACTAATCCTTCTGTTGAATACCAACCCTGTACATTTCACAAAGGAGGTATGAGCCAAGCATACTTTCCACATTAGTAGAACCATCAGGTGGCCAGTATCATTCCCATTTTACTTCTAGTAGTATTACGTAAAAGGTGCCACAGTTACAAGATGTGCTGATGGTAAAAAGCAATATGTTAACATTCATAAGGGCAAAGAGGGAAGGAATAAAAAAATTAAATACTTACTTGGTCCTAGACCAATTGAAAAAGCAGCAACATAAACAAGCAAGCTGGCTAAGGAAAGCCATTTCAGGAAAGCTGGGACATCTGCAGGGTCTGTGACTATCAGGTATTCAGCTGGACTCAGTCTAGCATTTGGTAAGATTGTCACCCCTCTCTTATCCATGTCATTTCTTGTGGGCATTAAGGGGTTTTGGCTGTGGGCCGTGATCCCCTTAAAGAGTTCTCTAAGAGTATCATCATTGGCTGACAGGTTTCCTGGCCCATAAAATACAGACTTATCCAATGACTGGTTGATAGGGCTCTGGCTTCTGCAGATATTGGTGAAGTTCATGGGGATGTTGAGATTCACGATGCCCATGGTCACCAAAGAAGCCGCCATCACAGAGGTGCCGATACAGAGGAAGGTTTTGCTCCCAACATGGTCTACAAGAAGAGTGGCAGGGATGGTACTGATGACCTTGACAACTCCAACCCCCGTGGAGGCAAGGCTGGCTGCCTCGTTGCTTTGGAAACCAACAGATTTCAAAACAGTTGATGCATAGAATAATATGTTTGGCTGACCGGTGACTTGCACAAAAAACACCAAGGTTAGACCTATCATTATCCGAGTCCTCATGTTGTCCTTTGATCGAAACAGATCCCAAAAACTATACTGATATTCATCTTTCAGGGAAGATTTTATCCCAGTGAGTTCCTCTGTTGTATCTGAGATGGCTCTCAACCTTCTGAGAACCTTGCTAGCAGCCTCCTCATGTCCTTTCATCACCAGAAACCGGGGACTTGGAGGAAGAAAATACATTGCGATTGCTTGCAAAACTCCGAAGGGAATAACAAGGCCAAACATGTATTTCCAGCCATGGGAAACATTCGCAAATGCATAGTTTGAGATGTAGGCGAAAAGTATGCCGATGACAATCATCAGCTCATTCAGGGACACAAGAAGACCTCTTCTGTGTTGTGGAGCAATCTCTGCGATGTAAACACATGTGGCAATTGAAGAGAGCGAAATGGACACCCCTATAGCAATTCGGCCTACAATGAGGACCTCATAAGATAAACTGAGTATCAGGATGAGGCTCCCAAGTCCAAGGAGGCAGGATGACAAGATGATGGCAGCCCGTCTTCCATACCTGTCAATCAGGACCCCTCCAGTGAGGGAGGCCAGCAAGGCCCCAATGAGGAGGGAGCTCACAACCATTTCCTGCTCGTGGCAGGTTAGGGCTAATAAAGTTCTTAACTGAAGAAGGGCCCCAGAGATGAGCCCAAGTTCATAACCCACGAGGAGGCCACTGACAGCTGCAGTGATGGATGACAGGAGAGTAAACATGCCGCAACCTACAGGCAGAGAGAAAGACAGACAGTTCATTTCTGTGCTGTTATTTTAAACACTTTATGTCTGAATGGAGATTTAACCTTGTACAAGTAAGTTTTTCAGAGCACTGAGTATAAACACAAACGTAAATATAGCAAAATAATATATTAACAAAAATGATTAGCTATAAAAGGAAATATCCTTTTTCTTTCATTTTGGGGAGGGGAGGGTGGAGACATTAAGGGAGTCATTCCCTTCTTTTTGTGATGCTGACATTGTTTTTAGGTACTAGCTACAGCTATGCAAGAGGAGCAGAGGACAGATGTTGAAGAATGACAAATAAGAACACCATTTAGTTCCTGCTCTGGCATCAGATCCAAAATTCAGACAGCCCAGTTCCTCAGGTCCCACTGCAGGCCATTCTCTAAAGGCAAAGCTTTGAGGCAGAGAAGACAGCATAGGAGCCTTAAGAAATGTTAGAGGCGGGATCCCTGGGTGGCGCAGCGGTTTTGCACCTGCCTTTGGCCCAGGGCTCGATCCTGGAGACCCAGGATCGAATCCCACGTTGGGCTCCTGGTGCATGGAGCCTGCTTCTCCCTCTGCCTGTGTCTCTGCCTCTCTCTCTCACTGTGTGCCTATCATAAAAAAAAATTAAAAAAAAATTTTAGAGGCTTCCCCGTGTGTAACCTGGGGGAAAATGAAGCCCTGTCACCAGGAAACCTGCCCTTGTGTCTCCTGGGCCACATCTGGCCAAAACCAGCTCTTGTTGAAACATGAGGGTACTGGGTGTGTGTGTGTGTGTGTGTGTGTGTGTGTGTGTGTGTTTGTCTTTGCAAATTTAAGGTCACACCAAAAAGAAGAAAGAAAAGAAATGGATGCTGGGGAGGGAGCCAACAACATCCATGATTTGCTCTGAGTAAGAAGGCAAGGGAATGGCACTGGGTGGGAGGAAGAACAAAAAGGACTTTGTATTGTTTTATTATTTTAATGTTAAAAACTGAAGAAAAATAGCAAAGTATTAACAGTCATTAATTTTCATAAGTAGGTGGGTCGGTGTTGTCTTTGCATTTGTAACTTGTCAAAACAGAAACAAAAAGAACAAAAACTAACCAAGGGAACCTGTGCATTGCAGGCACAGGAAACAATAATTTACAAAGTGTGACACAGGAAAGCCTGTTTTTGGAATTGTTGGGCAGCCAGTTCATCAAATGTGGCGCATATCAGCTTGGGGAGGTAAATAGGACCCACTAAATTTGGATAGGGACAGAGGGGACATTTCAAACACAGCTGTGGAAGTCACAGTGGCAATGTTTTATAGTTTTCCAAGTATAATGGGGTCATTGCACACTGAATGGCATGGAGGCACTGATGCCAAGTTTCTTGCTGCTGGGTACAGACTAGTTATTCCAGGAGCAAGACTGGTAACAGAGAAGAGTGTGTTGCCTTAGAGTTAACAAGAGATGATGGTAGCTTAGACTTGGATGTTCAGAGGAGACGTGGGGACAAGTAGGCAGATTCAAGGGTAATTTGGAAGTAAAAATGACTGCACTTGCCAATGAACTGGAGTTAGGAGGTGAAGAGGTGGGTCAGAACCCAAGATGGCTCCATGGTTTGAGCCATTGGTTGGGTGATTTTATTATGTTCAATAACCTTGTATATTGGCCTATATATTGTTCAGGGCAATATACTGACCAAAGGAAGATTGAGAAGAGAACTGGTTATGGCTGGGGGAAAAGGAGGAATGGAAATCAGAAGTTTTGTTTTAGGTTTACTGAAATATTTTAGTTGTTTTATCTGTAAGACGTTCAGTTAAAAATGTCAATTCAGACCAATATACAGATTTGGAGCTTAAAAGGTAAGTCAAGGCTGGAGAATAGGCTGCATGTATTTGGTATTTAAAATCATGGAAATGAATGAGATCACTTTAAGAGATAAACAGGAGCTGGAGAAGCAGGAATAGGACTTGAACCTTGGAATGCCAACATTTAGAAGAGGAGACAACAACAAGGGAGACGAAGAATAGAAATGACATGTGTATAGAAAGGACTAGAAATGTGTGTGGGCACACATATTTCAGAGGTGGAGTGAGGGCCATTTAACCCTGCCATTGCAGGGGGGGTAGTGTGGTTTAAAAATGTTGTTCAGAAAAAAAATAAATAAATAAAAATAAAAATGTTGTTCAGGGGATCCCTGGGTGGCTCAGTGGTTTAGCGCCTGCCTTCCACTCAGGGTGTGATCCTGGAGTCCGGGGATCGAGTCCCACATCAGGCTCCCTGCATGGAGCCTGCTTCTCCCTCTGCCTGTGTCTCTGCCTCTCTCTCTCTCTCTCTCTCTCATTCTGTGTGTGTGTTTCTCATGAATACATAAATAAAATCTTTTTAAAAAATGTTGTTCAGCTCTAGGAAAAGAAGCATGTTGAATAAAGTTGGTCTGAATCTCTTCCATCAGAAATATCCAAAGAATCCTGGGACATAGGTGACTTCAAAAAATAAATCTAAAAAGGACTGAATATTTAGATGGAGGGGCAAATAAAAGTGCAAGAATCCACAACAACATAAAATTAATTCATGAGCATAGCAAACACAAACCATTAAATTGAAATTAAATCAAGAATTTAACCAGCTAATCGGAAAACAAATATTTAGCACCAGTGCATGGCAGGTATTTTCCTAGGAACTGGGATCCACATCTATAGCAATAAAAGAGACCAATGTAGTTATATAGTTCACCCCCAAGAAACTTAACATTCCGGTGATATCACTTATTACATACTGTCTTAATTTTTACTTGGAAAATGACTTTTAAAGCACCCTCTTATAGGTTCATTCATGTCCTGCATTTCCACATATTTTTCCCTATTGGGATCTTTAAATCCTCAGCAACATATTTCTTTACCACAAGGAGAATCAGGTCAAATTCTCACATCTGGATAAGGATACTGTTTTCCTTCGTATTTCTACCTGTTTATTTTATCTACGTTTGACATATTGATTTGCTCTGTGTGCTTTGGCAACTGGTCTCTGATATTCAGATTAAAGCAATAAGTGACACAGGCAGCACGGGGATACTGAGTCAAGGACATGGCAGAGCAGATGCCAGAACTATTTGAGGAGCAGAAGACTGTCCTTGCCTCCTTGTCTTCTGCTCCTTCCTAGTTTTCCTCCTTTGTTAGTTAGGTTAGAGTTTCCCTACCAAAAGAAAGACCCCTTGAGATACAGGAGTCCCTTCCTTTGACACGCTATCCTCCTACTTCAGGCAGAGTCCGAGGTGGTGAGTTTGGGAGGAGTGGGCCAAGGGGCAAGGCAAGTCACAAAGCCTGCTTCTTGCACGGTGGGGGCCTGCTCCTGACAGAAGAGGGGTCCAGTTTCTTTGTCCAGTTTCTGGACTTAGCTTCATATGCCTCGTTCTTTCAGTCAGGGTTCACTGGACACTGACAAACAGGGATGTGTACAAAGGGTCTGGAAACCATCCCAGTTTGTCACTGTCCCTCTGGAGACCCAGCAGCTATAATTCTTCAGAGATAAAACAAAAGTATATCCATATGAATTACTAAAAATCATTTTTACAAAACTGCAGGTTCTAAAACATGCTATATATCACATCATCTATCTATCACCTATGTAGGGAGTTGGCCCTGGGACAGGCGGCAGGGGCTAGAGGAGACAGTAGGATGAGGCACGACAACCAAGGTCTTTTCAAAAGAACACCCAGCCCTTGGGTCAGACACTCTGCACTTCGCTTTCTGGGAGAAATTTAGCATTTCCATCGGTTTTGCCCCCGGTCTTGCTTCACGGGGTCCCTTCCTTTACATTCTTTTCCCCCAAAAGGGCCCCAGAGAATTCGCAGCCGCCGGCAGACAGCAGACAAGGCAACTATCTGGAGACTTGCAACCAGGGGCCTTGGCTCGTGCCTCCCTCTGTGCCTTGCTCCTTTGCTAGAAGACAGCAGGGCTCTTGGGTGCGAGGTGATCCTACAACAAGGTAGGAAGGTTGAAGTGCTCCTGGAGGGTACAATCACCGCGAGGGGCTCCACCGGAGGGCACAAAGGTCGGGGCCTGCACAGGCTCCCCAGGCCCGGAGGCTCGCAGCTTCGCGGCCCCCCACCCCCCTCGGTTTCCATGACCTTTGAGGCGGTGCCGCTCCCGGCTCCGGCCCTTCCCCCGGCGCCCACCACAGCCCGGCCCGGCCCGGCCCGGAGGGCGGACGAGCCCCGCGGCTCCCTGGACCACAGCACCGCTTCGGCGCGCCGCAGGGCATTGGCTTCCCCGCGGGAGAGGGAGAGCCGCGGGCCTTGAAAAGACCCCCCTTCGCGCTTTGCTCGAGAACTTGCGGCAGCCCCAAATCGACCTTCGGATGTGGCCTCCCCCGGCCCCCGCCCCGGCCCCCGTCCTCCTCCCTGAGTATCTTTCGTCCCCCCCCCCCCATCTTTCAAGCGTCCTCTCAAGCGCCACCTCCCCCAGGAAGGCCGCCCTGCTCTGCCTTATTCTGCAGCCTCACCCTAAACCCCTCTGTGCTCCTCCTGCCCCCAAAATGTGTTTCTGGGGCACCTGCCGTCTTCGGGCTGCTCATTTATTCACCCACACGTCTCCCCCGGTTAAACCGAAAGTCCCTAAAGCCAAAAACTCTGCCTTCCCGAGGTCTGTACTCTCGTCTCTGGTCTTTGGCACGAGGTAAACACCCAACAAATGTTTGTCGGGTGATTGAAGCAAAGACCGAGGGCCGCCAGTGCCCCAGAAGACGGATCCGGGTCCGCGTCCTCCCGTCCCCAGCGCCGCGCTCTGTCCCGGCCGCCAAGGGCGCGCAGGAGCAAGAGACGGCGCCTGCCGCGGTGCTCGCAGAGGTGCAGAGGTGCTCGCGTTCGTGCCGCGCCGTAGTAGCCTCGCTACAAGCCTTTCGGCTCTATTACCAGCCTGTTCATATGGCTCCGCCACAGACACCGCCAGTTGTTTCATTACACTCGTTTATTTGTACTCTATGACCCATCAGCCCCATGCACAGACTTGGTCTCTGGTCGTTCAGATTGG